AGGCAACCTCCAAGCATGTGGGAGATGAGAGCCTAGCAGGGAAGCACTTGCAGGGTGCAGAGGTTCACCTCCTCCTTGCAGAGACCAGCACCAAAACGCACATCCCATTCCCCAACTGACCATTCTGCCAAGCCAGCTCATTTCAATTTTTATTCCCCAGTTCAATCACAGCCCTAAGTCTCAGCTCAACAACCAACTCTGCAGAAAAGCAGGAATATCTGACTCTTGTGCAAGGAAAAGCAGACCCAAAATTACACTAAATCTCCTCAAATCTCTCTTAGGAGCCATCCCATCTTTCACAACAAGCATCATCGCTTGCTGTACTTGGGCAGCACCTAGCACAGCTCAGCCCTAAAATTTCTCTTTGGATCCTTTCATGCTAACTAACACAAAGCTAGTAATATTACTTAATGTCACTGCAGTCTGGTGAGGAGGGAGAGCATGGACTTGGCACTGCTACTTTAATGAGCAAGACTGAATCCAACTGGCTCCACACATTGTCCCTTCAATGGCACCCGTACAAATCAGGAACATACTTAAAGCTTCAGCCCCACATCAGCATAATTAAACACAGCCTGCTTCCCTTCCAAAAGTAACAGCAAGCCAGATTTAAGTTATGTTTGGAACTGGCATGAAAAAAAAAAAAAAAACTAGCAAAATAGCAGTCTAAAAGGGACTGGGTAAAACAGTTTGTAGTACAGCGAGCAAAACCCCCAGGTGAAGCAAACCACATACACTTGCTAAAGTTACTGTGCCATTGGCTACAGCAGTGTGAGCCCCAGGGCTGGCAGATGCTCTGAGCCTGCAGTGGTGACATGCCAGTAACCACATGCAACCACACCACGGCCCGATACAAACCCAGCACTGCAGCCTCATTTAGTTTGATGAGCATCAGCTTCACACTGGACACAGCTGATCATCTGGTGGGAAAACATCAAAACAGAAGGCCATACCACAGCATTCTTTGGGCAGAGGAATACTTTTAAAAATGTGCAGACCTGCAAGAAAGCAGCACCCTGGGCTCCATACAATGACTATCCCATGACATACCTATTCGGGGAATAAACAAAAGCAATTCAAAACTAAACAGCAAGCAGATAAAAACCACTAACGGGTATTGACCGCAAAGCCTTCAAAGCTGCCCCAAAAATCAGAGCCTTCACAGAGCAGCAGGCAGAGCCAAGAGAAGTCAGCTGCCCTCTGCGCAGACCACACCACCTCCCTTTGCAGTGGGCAGGCAAGGTGACAAGTTTTATCCTGGAAGTTCTTAAATCGGGATGAGGTAATTACTGCATAAATCTCAGCCCACGGGTTGTGTGAGAAACACTCTGTAGCCAATCACTTAGGCTCAGGTGAGGATCTCAGTGAAGTAGTAATTTATTCGCGATTGCAATGGCAGGTGCCCCAAGCAGGAGAGCGCCCCTACTAGTTCCAAAACACAGTTTATATGCTTTTTGATGACAGGACCCTCCTCTGTTTCCCCACTGAGTGGGTAATCCAGGTTCACAAGCTATCTGATGCTTCACAAACAATGCACGGCCTTCAGTTGCCAGCCTTTTAAATTTCAAGTTTCTTTTGACATTTTTACTGCTTGGAGTGGTAATGTTTCTTCACTTACCTGACTTGACTTAACACCGTGATTTTCATCTAATTGTCCTAAGGAGTCTGGTTGTCTGCATTTTACAAGGGTGCCTGCTAAGCTTTCTTATCACTGTAAGCATATCTCAATACCACATTCCTTCCCTCCAAACAATGTAACTCTGCAGAAACAACATTTCTATTCCCACAGGTGTGATAGAAACTTTCCCACAAAAAAAAAAAAAAAAAAAATCAATACATACAGGACAGGACAACCAAGATAAATATTTTGGAAACAAAAGAAAGCTCAACAACAGAAATCAACACCCAAATTCGAATGATGCAGAGCCAAGCTTTTGTCCACTTAATCCTGATACCCAGTTACAGACAGATAGGGCCATTCCTGCACAGGAAAGCAAACACCATCTTTAATCATTAAATCCTCCAGTCCTGACAGTTTTATATTACAAATTGGAATAAATTTCTGAAGGACGCTAACTACTCAACAGCTGCTTCCCTTAAAGCCTCTTAGGGTGAGAGGTGAGCACTTGTGTGCCCATTTACACATGTAACAGCCAATTTTGTAACTCCAGGTGTGGAAACAGGAGACCCCCTCACTGACCAAGGGGCACAAGACCTCATCTCCCTCCTACACAACCGGCCTCATCCTCTCACCCTGACTAGCCAAATGCTGCACATGGCCAAAACAAGCCAGCTTGCACAGGCAGGAGAATAAGTCAGAAGCGAGTGCTCGTAACTAAGCTCAATGAGACTAATTTTTACCATCTGTCCTGCAGCAACAAGCTCCACAAATCAGTGCAACCCCAACCCCCAAGCCACATATATTGGGGAAAAGCAACAAATCAAGCCCCATACATTGTTTTTGCTGTGTTTATTCTCATGTAACCTTTTTGGTTTTTAGAAGCACGGTTGCCACGCTAGCCTGATGATACACAAAGCAAGCTTGAAAGGAGAGGTAATCTCTTGCATGAGATGCACTAAGGGAGTTGCAAAGGGAAAAAAAGGACCAGCTCTCATGCAGAGCCTTTTTTCCGCTTCAGATCTAAGGAAGAACTTGTCTCCTCCAAAAACACATCTGTTTTGGTCTTTTGCTTTTTACCCAATGGAAGTCATAACCCTACAAGCATTATCTCACCTTCTTTTTGAGGCAGAAAACAAGCATCCAAGCAGGTGTAAGAACTGCAAAATACCCTTCACACTGTCATTTATTCAGTTTGCATTCAATCTTTTTCACCTGCTTTCTTCTTATCTGTACCCAAGCCAAACAGTTTTCCTGTCCCTCCTAGGTGTTTTTTTTTCCTCCTAGTTCAGGAGAAGCAGAAGCTCAGGTAACCCAGACCCCAAGGGATGCTTGGGGCTGCTAAGCTCTTGACCCTTGCAGCAAACCCCAAACCCCAGATTTCAGCTGCAGACAATGTGCACTGGGCAGTGAGTTCTCTGGACACCCTAGCTCACAAAAGCTGTTTTAGCATCTCCCCAAGACACATTTCTCTCTGCTTGGGATCCACGGGTGGAGAAGCTCCTCAGCCTGCATTCAAGGACAATGCAGAGGTCACTACTCTTTGCTCTAAAGCCCTGAGGAGAGAGGACATGTTGCAAAGCAAGGAGGTGCCACTAATCCCTGCCTTTCCCTCCCAGCCTCCAGAGGCAGCTTTTTCAACCTGTGCAGGATGGTGAGCAATCACAGTGCTCAGCAATCCTCCTGCAGAGCATTTAGCAAACAGCTACATCAAACAGAGCCTGCGTTCAGCAGGTGCCTTGCTGTCCCTTCACCCGTGCCAAGCCAACACAGCGCTCCAGGCTTCACATTTCTTGGGCTACAGGATTCAACGTCACCCTTCCATGCTCACTACAACTTGGAACATGAGTTCATTAAAACCTGCAGCCAGGGCCCTGTCACACCAGACAAACATCAGCACACTTGCAAAAGGGGGAACTGAAAAGGAAAGGCAGCCTTCCAATAAGGCCTCTATCTGCCTATTCCCAAACTTCCTTCTGCCACTGAACTGCTTTGCAGACTAGTCCCGCTAGAAAGACTCTCTCAATGTTTTTATTTATTTATTTTTAGTTTTAAAAAGTATGCTATTTCTGCTCATCTTTTCAGCAACATATGCTAATTCAACAGTCCCAAGAAGCTCAGATCATCCCACAAGGATTTTCTCTCTCCGTCCCTTCACAGTCTAGCAGCTGGTGAGGCTGATGTGACAAGTCCAAAGGGAAGACAACAACTGGTTTTAGGTATGTATCTCAGACAGCACTTACAGAGCAGGGAATTTCAACTCCTCTCCTGCATGTGGAGCAGCAACAGCTCAAAACTAGTTCTCTCACTCCAGACACCAGCAAGGGTATTTAATCACAACTCTCTCTCTCACTCCTGGCTATCCGCAGAAATAAGAAGAGCAGAATATTCCAGCACAATGAACACCCAGCTGCTATCAACAAACTTTAAAAAGGTCATTAAAAGAGTCCAGTTTGAGCTCTCATTTAGAGCTCCTGCAACTTGCAAACAGCCCTGCAGGAATCTTTTAGGCAGATTATACTGGTGGTGGCTCACAAAGCATTTCAGGGGTTTGATCTTACAGTAGCATGCCCATGCCTTCTCCTGCCTTATGCACGAGGGCCTGGGGGCTTTCTGGAAGGTAAAGGCAGCAGCTCCAATTAGTAGCTCATCATTTGCCAAACAAATCACACCACACAACTCCACACAGCTGCACAGAGAGACTCGGGAGAAATTCACTGGGCAGCAAAGAAGCAGGCACCAAGTGAGCATGGGCTGCCCCAGGACAGGCCCAGGTGCCAGTCCCACTCCCCTCTTCTCCCTCCCCCCACAACATAACAGAGCAGACTTAAGTCTCAGCCTGCATCTGCAGACAAAGTTCACCTGAGGAGACCTTGCTTCCCAGCTGGGGATGAAAAAAGTTGAGATACAACTATGCTGGAAACAACACGGAAAACGTCACTGAAGTATCCAAGAGGGCTGCAGCATGCTCTTTCTTTTCCAAAAGAAAAAGAGCAGTAGTGAGACCCCACTTCCCACTGCTGATGGCCTGAGTTAGCCTTTAAAACAGAAAGCATCAGCTTTGCTCCAGAGGGGAAATAAACATTCAGGGAGCTTCCCGGGCAGAGAGCTGCCACAGAGTCAGAGCAGTTCTGACTGGGGTTTGCAACGAGAACTCCACCGCTGCCACTCATTGCCCTGTTCGGGGAGGCTGTGCAGGGAACTGGTGTCCCACCTGTGTCACTGCCAAAGCCACAAACATCCTCCCTCTGCGCAGCCCCACGGAACGGTGCAATTGAGGGCGTGGGAGGAGAGTGCGCAGCCCCGTGGGTGTAGGGAAAAAGCGCACCGAGGAGAGCCTCGGAGGGGCGAGGGGAGCCGGGGGGTCCCGGGGAGCACTCACCGCGGAGAAGTTGTGGGGCCCGCAGAGCTCGCCGCGGTACTTGCAGGACAGCAGCATGTCCTCCAGCTGGTGGCCCAGGCGGTCCATGAAGTCGGCGCTGATGCCCTCGTAGTGGCGGGGCGGCAGGAAGAGGCGAAAGTCGGCCAGCTTGGCGAACCACCGCAACCTCGCCTCGTCGCCCCGCAGGAGCTCGGTGAGCAGCGGCCGGGCCGTGCGGTTGGGCAGCAGCAAGCCCAACCAGTGCCCCGCGTAGTACAGGTCCCCCTTGGAGAGGCGGGGGAAGCGGAGCGGGTTGTTGTTGCACAGAGTGACGGCGGGGAAGAGCAGCTGGCGGCTCCACTCGCTTCGCACCTGGGTGTGCGACGGGAAGGAGAGCCAGTGCAGGAGGCGGTTGGAGGACCAGGACAGGAGCAAGCCCAGCGCCGTGCAGAAGGCGAGCACCCACAGCGCCCGCCGCGGCAGCGCCGCCCGCCGCGAGCACATGTGCCGCAGCCCGTGCAGCCGGCTGCGCAACGGCGGCGCCCGGCGCCCCCTCGCCATCGGCGCTCCCCGCCGCCTCCCCCGCCGCCGCCGCCGCCGCCCGGGGCTCAGGGCGAGCAGCCCCGCTCCATCCCCGCTCCCCTCGCCGCGGCCGGCAGCGGCCCCGAGCGGCGGGGGGAGCCGCAGCGGGCAAGCCGCCGCGCCGGCCCCGAGCTCAGCGGCGGGCAGCAGTTCCGGCAGCGCGGCATGCCGGGCCCCGCTGCCGCTGTCGTCGCTGTCGCCGCTGTCGCCGCTGTCGCCCCCCCCCCCCCCGCACTGCCGCCGCACCCCGCGGGGGGCAGCCCGGCCGGCCGCCGCTCCCCGGAGCGGGGGGGGGCGTCGGCGCTCCCCGGTACCTCCGAGCTCCGGTGGGGCTCCGGGAGCAACCGGCGCCCCCCTCCGCGAGCCGCGGGACGCCCCCCCTCCGCGCCTCCGGCGAACCCCGCTCCGCCGCTCAGCGCCGAACCCCGGCCGCGCTCCGCCGCTCCCCGTTGGCGCTCATGCCGCCCCGGCCGGGCTCCCGCTGGGAAAAGCCCTTCGCGGCGAGGAGGAAGAAGAGGGGGCGATGCTTCCCCCTGGAGCAAATCCCGCTTCCCAGGCGACTGCGGCGGCCAGCCCCGCCGCTCGGCGCCAGGCGCGCTCGGGAGGCGGAGGAAGGATGCTCGGCCCCGCTTCGCCGGAGGAGCCCCCTCCTCCTCACCCTATTTATCCCCCTCGGAGCAGGGGGGAGAGCGGCCCCGCTCGCAGCCCCCGAGCGCCACCGGCTTCAGCCGGGCTTCGGAGGGGTTCCTCCTTCCCTGCTCCTCCTCCTCCACCACCTCCTCGTCTTCCACCCGCCAGTTTGTTTTTCCGATTTTCAGCAGCCCCGGGGGAAAACATGAGATCACGGGCTGAAGCAAAGCCTCTAGAAATACAGGCGAGGTTTGCTGCTTGCACCGGCCGGCTGCTGGGAGAAAGGGGGCTGCTTTTTGCTTCCCGTAGAAAAGCAACTGCACGTTCCCCCAGTACACGGGGAAATGCATCTCGGGGTCCCCCTTCCTCAGTCCCCACTCCCCACTTGCCCGTGTCCTACTGAAGCTAGCACAGGTCGGGCACAGAGCTTGTTTTTCCCTGCATGGGACACAGGTGCACACAAAAGCCCTGTCCCCGATGCCCTGGGGAGACAGCAGGCACTTGGGTTGTATTTTGGCATCTAGCTCGGGTTGCTTCGTTCTGATCTCTTCAAAGCCACTCTCTGTTACCTTCATCTTGATTTAGAATAGTACTAAGCAGCATTCCTATAATTGTACCCAATTAAGCTCTAAGTGGCTATAACTGCTTCGAATCCCTTCTGATATTTTCTCTCTGAATTCATTTTCCATTGCATTTTGATCTGCGGCGTATTTTTACCCAATAGATGGAGCCGTCACAGCCTGGTCAGCCCCAGCCTCTTTCGCAGAGTTTCCTTCCACTGTGGCAAGAGCTGAAAACGTTCAGCTCTCGCACCTTGGTGTGGGGCCTTCCCAGAAAACCCACTCCTGGCCCTGGGGCCATAGGAAAATGTTCAAGGGGCCTCATGCTGGGGCTGCTGGAGCAGGGATTTTCACAAGCACATGGACATGGGCTCAGCTTTCCTTCCTCAACAACATGGACAATTTTCAGTGCCTCTGCTCTTCATGTGCTTGTGTCCATGTTCTGCACAAGTCTTACCTTTTTTTTTTTTTTTTTTTTTTTTTAAACTCATACTCATATTCCAAAATCCCTTTCAGATCTGGAAGGATGACCATGACTTTCTTAAACTGAAATGGTATGAAAAAGGGACAGAAGTGATTGTGTTTGTTATGACGTGACTTTGAGTAGCTTCCATAAGCATCACGGCCTTTTCCTCCTGCTAGTTGAAAGAAGTGGGAGCTTTTCCCTTTGGCTCACCCACAGGATAATAAACATTCAAATACCTTTGCCATGAGGCAGGCTGAGGTTGTTTTACCCACGATACAATGACACAAACCTGAGGTTTGTGTTGGACTATAAACATCCTCAGATAAGCCCTTCTCCAGCAGCATTACCACTACACCCTGCAGCACAGAGGGACTTAGTGCCAGGTGCTCTGGTAGTGCCTGGGCTGTTGGTTGTGCCTGCCTGGAGAAACATGACACAGCCCTGGACCTGGTCCACTTGCTTATTTTCCTTTTGTACCTGTTTGTACCTGTTCTTTTGGTGGGGCTAGCTTAGCAAAAGGGGATGTACAGGACACAACAGTTGGATGGTGTGGAAAAACTGTTTTCTTCCCTCATATGTGCCCACTCCAAATATCCACTCAAATTCCCAGCTTTATTTATCAGAAGGAAGAAACTGTATTTTATTTATTTATTTATTTAAACAAGAGAAAGCCGCTGGTAGATAGGAGTTGGATGGACAAGACCAACCTCACCCTGAGCTGAAATTCAAACACTCCCCACAGAAGTTCTCTGAAGACAAAACCTGACCACAAAAAGCAAAGCCTGCACCGGCTGGCCTGGTGTGCCCAGCCCAGCTACACATCCTTTAGAAACCATTTCCATTTCTTTTTCCCATTACCAATTCACCCTTGTGTGAGTCTCAATTGCTTCTTTACCCAGACATAGCAGTTTACAAAGCCTATTGGACTCAATGCATGGAAGGAATATTACAGCTGGAGCCTATATATGTTGCTTACTAGTCAAAGAGTCACTTTTTAAATTATCCTTTTTTGGGAGAGGGGATTGCTACTTCTGCTGAAAACCACAGTTTCAATGTAGACAAAACTGCACAGGAGAAATTCAGAGAACCATTTCAGGTGAATCCTGCTGTTCTCCCCCAAGATGTAACATGCATGCCCTCAAAAGATACAGAAAAGACAAATAATCTGAAGTTTTTCTAAACCAAAAGCATTGCCCTCTTTTGAAACTTCATTTTCACTTCAAACATTGACTCAGGTTAAGGCAAAAAGGATTAAATAAAAGCTTTGAAAGCCCTGTAAAGTAAATTATAATGCTTTCTTCCACCTGCACCCTTTGAGTGTTATTTAATTTATCTCAGAAGGGAGCAGAAGAAGGCAAGGTTCAACCCCAAATGCTTTCCCCTGGCAATCTGAGAAACCTACAAAACCATGCCCAGAGCCCTGCAGCCCCCAGGGAGAGTAAGATGCTGAGTTCAGCGCTGGGGTCTGCAAGTGTGAACTTGGCTGCAGAGTTCCTGAATCATCTGGGCTGGGCTTGAAGGGCTGTGGTTTCATTCACCTGTGTGAACCCCAGGTGATTTATGGGATTTAGCCCATTACTCAGCTCTGTGTGCAGTTCCTGGTGTGCAAGTGGGCAGTGGTTTTATCAGCAGAAGTTGTGCTTCCATCTTCCTGCAGCGGTTACAGGGGATTAGTCCCTAAAAGCAGGCAGCAAGATTATGGGAATGGGATGATGGGGCAGGACTGTCCGGCACCTCGCAGCATTGTTTTTCCCACTAGTAAACCCTGTGGAACAGGAAGGGCTTCATTTTAGCTCTCCAGAGCTTAAATCCAGGAGAACTAAACAGGAGGCTCCCTGTTTCTAAACAGGAGGCTCCCTGTTTCAAGGCCAGTTGTTCCCAAGCAGGGTCTTCAAGTCACCTTGAAGGGATCCTTTTTCCCCTGCAGGAGCATCCCTGGTGCCACTGGAGAAGGGGCTGCAGCACGCAGAGGCCCTGAGGCAGATGTGATGGAGCAGACTGGTGTATCAAAGACAAACCTGCTCCTCTTTCATGTTCTGTAAACAGCAGTCTTTCCAGAATAATGCGCTGCTTTGCCTAACTGCTGAAAAAAAAAAAAGTCCTGCTGAAGCCACCATGTTATGAGAAAGTCATAAAACACTTGGAAATAGGGGTTTCCATGGAAGCTGCCATCTCAGAGTTAATTCTATTACTGCTGCCTCAAATCTCATAGTAAGCAACAGAACTGCTCTGGTGCAATATGAGACCAGCACAGCTCTGGGGAACCTGCAGAGTTCTGCTTCCCCACAAACACTGCCTTTATTCCGAAGTGGTTTTATTTTCTTTGGTTTGTTGGTTTGATTTTTTTTTTTTTATATTGCAAGCAAATTATTGAGCTTCCAGGTGTGAAATTCTCCAAGGTAATTGAGTATTCTCAGAACAGAACCCTCTGAGGTACAGTCCTGCACTACATCTGTTACAGGGATTTTCTGGGTCTGCAGTGTTTTGGGGCTGCATGTGTTTTTAACATGGACAGATGAAATATTTGATCCATGAAAATATGGAAGGCACATAAATAAGATGTCAGTAGCCTATTTCTTACTCTGCTGTGTGCATTATGGTGTAGGTAGAATAGGTAAGCCAGCTGAATTTTACAACTCTGTTTTCAGATTCAGAAATATGGAAACTTCTGATACCTCATTTTCTGTGCCTTGTGTGTGTATTAAGAGAGAGAGAGAGGGGGGAAAAAAAGAGAGAGAGAAAAAAAAATGCCCAAGTGAGCAAAGATGCCGTTGCTCTTTCAGGGTTTATGCTGACACTCGCCAAAAAGCGAATAAAAGTGGGGTTTTCTAGGTGACAGCGAGCTGCTAAGGACTGATTAGGAAGATTTTAGGAGGTGGCACATCTCATCTGGGGGGTTGGCTGAGGCTGCCCCAAGAAGGTGTCGTCACCTTTACAGCAGCTGGGATACCTATGTTTGAAAGGATTCCCAAAGCAGGTCAAGCTCCTTCTCCCCACTTGTTTGGAGGGCACAGCATTATCAGCATTATTCATGAACTTTAATTGAAGGAGCAGAATGGTAATATATATCTGTATATACATATATTTGTCTGTATAAATACATACAGATTTCTTCTGCAGGTAGAGAGGAGGAATGATTTTCATCTATTTTAAACTTCTCAGCTGGCACTCTCTCAATTATCTCACTTTTTTTTTTTTTACTTTTTTTTTTTTTCTTTCTGTTTTCCATTTTAACACTGAAGAGAAGAGGAGAGGGAGTGAAACAAATGAAAATACCTCTGGCTTTATTAAGAACTAATTTTAACTTGAATCCTGAGCAAATTAAAAATCCAAGATCTCCCAGCCTTTTAACATCAGTAAGCTCTTTTTCGTGGTTGTTGAACTCAAGAAATCTGTCAACTAGTGTGGGGCATCCTGTAGAGACCTGGTCAGAAGGGAACACAGAGACGAGCCATCTCCTGCTGCACAAGGTATCCCTGTGGCCACCTTCCTGATGTCCAGAGCTGCCAGGAATGAGTAGAAGCCTCCCCTCCGGTGCTGGGTTGCAAAGTGTGAGCCCAGATGTGGTAAAATATTGAGGGAGAGACAGAAAAGGAGGCTGGCACCTGACAGCTGATCTCTTGGTACACTGGTACATTTCAGCCGTGTTCACCGGTCCTGCCGGAGTTACCCTGCATCCTTCCAGCACTGAGATGAGAAGGAGAAAGCAACACCTTGAAAAGTAGCTGGCAAGACTGCAGGGAGACGAGGGTTCCCGAGACACAGCCAGAGGCTGGACAAATTATTCCATCTCATCCTCAGGCAGACAGAAAAGAAAATTGAACATTATCTCTGTTTTGAAGAGAGAGCTTGTACTCCTGAACTTTGAGCCTTGAGGATGCTTTTCACACAGTGGTTCTGCAACTGTTTTTTTTTTTTTTTTTTTTTTTTGTGTGTGTGTGTGTGTGCATGTGTGTGTATTGTAATTTCTTTTCTTTTTCCTGTATTTAAGGGGATGAAGTTTGCTTGGAATTGCCCAGTGTTTTGCTGGGTGACCTCCTGCTATTTTAGCACGCCTTTGTTTCTGAGGGGCTGAACAGCACAGGAGCATGTTCCCTCTCCTTCATCAGGAGA